ATACCTTTTATCCTTTTTCTGTAAAATTATAGAACATGAATTTTGGTCAATGCGTCTATTTAAAATGTTTTGATTTATATGTTATAAAATATATAAATAATCTATTCATTTCTTTATGTTTTGTTTGGTTTATTTCTTCATAATGATCGCTCATGATATTACATCAAGTTATGAATAAACAACTTATAAAAAATATTGGGCTCATATATAATCTGACTTGTGATGTAAGAGTTAGTTTTAGGTCTTTTTTAATACAAAAAGTGTCAATTTTGTTGTCTTTACTTCTTTATTTTTACAATATTAGCATAATATTATTTTATTTCATATTTCGTGGCATTTCATTCTCTCTCCTTTGCTATGAAAATGGCGTAGTTAGCTGGTATAATGCAAAAATGTGCTAAAATAAAATAATATGATGAAGTATTCCTGTAAATAAAGTTGTGAGATGGGGAAGTTATCTGGTGTGTTTTTGTTGATGATGTGTTTTGAAGTGTGCTGCTCCTGTTGTCGTGTGCAGGATAAGGTTGTGATTGCGGTGGCGTTTGACTGTGTGGATCAGATGATCTACTGGTCTGATATCAGCCAACCGGCCATCAGCAGAGTGGCGCTGCAGGGCGGACAGAGCAGCGTACTCATCAGCAGAGGTCAGAAGTACACACGCAAAAAGCTCATTGTTTGTACTATTTTCTGAGGTACACTTATTATGTATGAAAAGACTTTTACATCAAAACATGATCATTTTGAGGTACTTGACTATTTTCTATTGTGCTCGGTTTGAGTGGGCGTGGCCAACTGTAGATTCAGAAGGAAACTCCCACTGCTCTGGGGTGCATTTCCCATACAACGACAAAAGTCACAGCTAAACTATCATAGTCTGATGCATCGTTTGGGAAAAGAATGATATAGTGATGAGTGTTCACCAAAACCCCTAGTTTTTCTGTCACAGATCCATCGTTAAAGATCTTATTTTAATAGTTTTTTTTTTAATTATCAGCTATTTCATATGTTATTCATCATTATTTCACATTCATTTTTAATATAGTTGTATTGATTTATTGTGCCTTATATTTATTTTAGTGATATTTGCATTTTAAATATTAATAAAAACATAAATATCATATAGTCAATAAATAATTTCAACAAATAAAAATTAGCATTTTCAGAAATTCATCAGTTTTAAGTCATTATGATTGTATTTCCTACAATGTGGGCATCAAATATCCCCACAAGTATAGTAATACCAGTACATTTTGACCTTGTGGGAACAATTTCTTTGGTCTCCATCAGAACAACAGCTCTTTTTTAATTTTTTAAATGTAAAAATGCAGATTGTTTGCTGTGATGATTTATTTAGGGGGGGGGGGGGATACAGTACAGTACAGTACAGTAGAAACCTCATTACACCTGTAAAGAAAGATGTACAAGTGTGTGTGTGCTGATTACTGTCTGGACTCTAGTATTGACCTCTGCTGTGTGTTTTCCTGCAGATCTGGGCAGTCCTGAAGGAATCGCCATCGATCATCTGTCCAGAAACATGTACTGGACGGACTCAGTGCTGGACCGGATCGAGGTTTCCCGTCTGGATGGCAGTAACAGACGCGTTCTGTTCGACAATGACCTCATAAACCCGCGGCCAATCATCGCAGAGCCTGTATATGGGTACGAATGCATGACACGGCTAAAACACGCTAAAGTAGAGCAGCGCGAACGTTTAAAATCAGAATCAGAATGAGCTCCAGAATGTGCAAACATACAGAGTACAAACACACACACATCAACACAAGAAGACATTGAAATAAGTGGAATAATGAAGTAAAAAATAAGATGTAGGAGCCGGGGCTTTCTGTTGCGAATCATTCCCTTAAAGGAATCTAATGGTTAGAGAGGATATCAAACAAATGTTATCATCGGATCAATCAAATCAGTGCATCTGAATTGGTTTTGAGCGCTATACTAAACACATGCAGACGAGTGACTCTAGTTTTCCCTGTCCTGCAGTCGTCTGTACTGGGCTGATTGGAACCGAGATGGGCCGAAGATCGAGAGCTCCAGCATGGATGGGACAGAGCGCACGGTTTTGGTGCAGGACGGCCTGAGCCTCCCCAACGGTCTGACCTACGACAGCCAGAGCCAACTGCTGTGCTGGGCCGACGCTGGTGTGTGCCGTTCTGAAAATATATAATTAAATATATATAATAAAATAATTCATAAATATAATAAATCATATATAATAAAATAATTACTCATTTTTGTCATTTAAATATTTGTTAGTTATTTTCATATATTATAATTTTTTACATTTAAATGTTATTTATTTAGATCACTATTTTGTGTTAATTCTTGATATTTTGATTATATATTTTTTTATAATTTATTTTTATTTTTTTGTAATTATTTTACTGTTTTTTATTTTATAGTTTTTTGATAGATTTGTTTAGTTTTTCTTTGTTTTTTCTTTATTTAATTATTATATTATTTATTTAATTATTTTATTTAATTATTTATTTTATAGTTTTTAATTTATTTAAATTATATATAAATATATATATATATATATTTTTTTTTTTTAGATTGTTTTATTATAAAATTATTGTAAAGATTTTATATTTTGTTTAAATTATAGTAATTAATTATATAAATATTTTTAATATTACATTTTAAAAAGTATTAATTACATTAATTACACACACACACACATATATATATATATATATATATATATATATATATATATATATATATATATATACTTTTATTACCTCATATTTCGATTCTTTTATGTTTTTATGTCAAAATATATTTATTATACAATACATTTTAATTTAGTTTCTTTTTATACTCTTCTGCTTTTAGTTGTTTTAAATTATATTTAAATGATCAAATTTTTCATTTTATACATTTTTTATTTGTGGAACATCTTTTATTATTTGAATTATTTAACAAAATATTTTACAAATGTTTCAGGAACTCGTAAGGTGGAGTGTTTGGATCTGTATTCTCGCGTCAGAAGAAAACTGACCGAAGGGATTCAGTATCCATTCGCCATCGTGTCCTATGGCAGAAACCTCTACTACACCGACTGGAGAAGGTGCGCTCAGAGTCACTGATTCACCTGAAGTGACTCTTATGAATCAGTTCATTTGATTATTCCATCAGTTTGAATCATTGAAATGAATCATTGAAGTGGCTAATGAAAACACCTGATTCCATGACGATGTTTATTTGACAATGTGCTGTTAAACATGGAAAATCACAAAAGACAAATGAATATTAATGTATAAAAGTATTAAAAGAAGATCTTTCTTCTCATTGATGAATTTCTTGGAGGAAAATATTGTAAAAATAATTGATAACATGAGCAACATGGGGGCTCAGTTGTTATTACAGCAAGAAGGTTGCTGGTTTGAGTCCCAACTGGGTCAGTTGGCGTTTATTTAGTATAGTTGTCTTATTTTGGTTTGTTTTTAAAGTTTTTATTTTAATTTGACGTCTATATAATTTGATTTATTACGTTTTATTTTGATTTTTTTAAAGATTGGTATGTAATGATGTAAACAATCATTTGTTGAATTTTTTTGAGTTATGATGAAACATTTGTTAATTTTTTTTATTTTATTTTTCATATTAGAAAATTATTCATTTTAATTATTCATATGCTGTCATTTTTAGGAAGATTGCTTGACTATGCTATTTGAATTTTGTTTTCCAGTGTTTCATTGATTTTTACATTTTTGTGATTATTTTAATTTTAGCAAGTGTTTTATTAAGATAATTATTTATTTTAAATAGTTTATAATAATTGTTGTTTTATTCTGATTTTAAATTAAATTAATAAACTTTTACATTTTTATATTTTTTATATTTTAATTATTCATACTCGTGATGTAATTTTATCCAGCATATGTTTTACACAGCAGATGCCCTTCAGCTGCAACCCATCACTAGGAAACACCCATACACACTTAATAACACTCATACACTATGGCCAATTTAGCTTACCCAATCACCTGTACCTCATCTCTTTGAACTTGTGGGGGGACCGGAGCACCCGGAGGAAACCCACACCAACACAGGGAGAACATGCAAACTCCACACAGAAACGCCAACTGACCCAGCCGAGGCTTGAACCAGCGACCTTCTTGCTGTGAGGCGTTTGTGTTACCCACTGCGCCACCGCGTCTCTTCAAATTTTTTATGATTTTTTATATTCAATTGTTTATGAATTTTCATCAGTTGTGTTTTACTTTGACATCAAATTAATTATTATTTATTTTTATTATGTATTTAATTAAATTTATTGGACATATTTATCGTTAATTCATTGTATTTGATATGCATTTATATTATTATTATTATTATCGGATGTTTGATTGTGTGTGTTTTTATGGTGTCTCTAGAGAAGCAGTGGTCGCTCTGGACCGTCATGATGGGATGGAGCTGGAGGAATTTCTTCCTCAGAGACGTTCACGTACATACGGCATCGCCATCACTTACCCACAATGCCCTGCAGGTCTGAGCTCAGATTTATTGCATCACAAACATTAAAGTTCAGTTCACGTTTATTTGTAAAGTGCTTTTGCCCCATTGACTTCCATTATAATCACATTTATTGATTGCAAATCCGTGACAGCAGATAATCCTGGATTCTTGATTGTTGCTGGTTTTCCCTGTTGGGACAAGGGGCAATGTGTCATTTTACTGTTGATCATCAGTCAGCAGTGTGAAGTGTTTTATATGGAGTTTAGTGGAGTAAATCAGCAGCATATAGTGTATGTGCAGAAATACACTGACTGTGTTTACTGGGTTTATTTAGATTTTCTCAGACATATCAAGATAAGTATGCAAAGGTCTCACTATTTGAAAAACAGCAACAATCAAGAATGCATGATTATATGCTGTCATGGCTTTCACAATAAAATTGTGAATATAATGGAAGTCAATTGGGCGTAAACAGCACCAACATTTGAACAATACACATGAGTTAATCACATGACTGTAATCCGCAGGTGGAAACTACTGCTCTCGCGATAATGGAGGCTGTTCTCATTTATGTCTGCCACATCCGGGTGGATTCACCTGCCGCTGTCCCGACGCCAGTGATGCTTCATGTGTCGAAGATGACCAAAACTTCTGAGAACCGAACAGCAGCTCCGTCCCGTCAGGAGGACACAATCAGTACAGTGAGGGAGACTAGAGATTCTAATCTGCCAATAGCAGTGTTTTGCGCTATTGTATTGTTACGTTATTGTTCGTTGTGGTTACTAAGAGACGTCGATCAAATCAGGGATTCCTTTTCCTTAAAATCTTTCAAAAGTACTAAACTGTATGGAAGCTTGTTTCGATCATGGAAGAAAAAACGTAATTGTAAATTCGTAACTCTTTCCTACATTTATAGATTTATATCTTATTAATTTATATCTAGCAATGCTGACTTTTTTCGCTATTACGAATTAATATCTTTCGACTTTTTTCGCAAGTATTTTTTTATATCTTACAATTCTGACATTTTTACAATTACAAGTTTATACCTTGCGCAATTATTACTTTTTTCGCAATTACAAGTTTATATTTTGCAATTCTGACGTTTTTTTTCAATTATGAGTTTTTATATTGCAACTATTTTTTTTTTTGCAATCCTGACTCTTTGTCAATTACGAGTTTATATTACGCAATTCTGACTTTTTTTTTTTTTTTGCAGTTGTAAGCTTATATGCAGTGAGTTTATATGTCGCTATTCTGACTTTTTCGCAATTATGAGTTTATGTTGCAATTCAGACTTTTTCGCAATTGTGAGTTTATACCTCGCAATTGGGACTTTTTCACAATAACAAGTTTATACATCGCAATTTTGATTTTTTCGCAGTTAAGAGTATATATCTCCTAATTCTGACTTTTTATCAGTTACGAGTTTATATCTTGCTATTCGGACTTTTTTGCAATTGCGAGTTTATATCTCGCAATTCTAACCGTTTCGCAATTACAAGTTTATATATCGCAATTCTGACCTTTTCGCAATTGCGAGTTTATAACTCGCAATTCTGACCTTATCGCAATTACGAGTTTATTTCTCGCAATTCTAATTTTTTGCAATAACGAGTTTATACCTCGCAATTTTGACTTTTTTTCAGTTACGAGTTTATATCTTACAATTTTGACTTTTTCTTAATTATGAGGTTATAACTTGCAATTCTGACTTTTTTCACAATTACGAGTTAACATCTCGCAGTTCTGACTTTTTTCGCAATTACGAGTTTATATCTCGCAGTTTTGACTTTTTCTCAGTTACGAGTTATATCTCGCAATTATGACTTTTCTCCAATTACAAATTAATATCTCACAATTACCCCTTTTTCTCAGGAAATCGGGCTTTTCGCAACTGTAAGTTAATTTTTACGTAATTTTGACTTTTCACAGAATGAGTATATTTTATAATTCTCCTTTTTTCCGCAATTACAAGTTTATATCTCCAATGTCTGCCTCATGCGAACTGAGTTTATATCTCACAGTTCTGACTTTTGCAACGGTATTAGCAAAGTCAAATTTCTGCATTTTTATGTGTCTACATGACAGAAACAAGTTTCCATACTTACTCATATTTTTACTTCACATATATAGTTTTCACCTAAGATTTCAATTTTGTTTGCTCATAAAATTCTTTAATGTGAATGTTTTTTTAAAGCAGGTAAAATAGTAAATATGTATTATATTAGGAGCCATTTTAATAATATTTAAAAAATATCAATTGTTTATATTATTGGATTTCAACAGCTGATATGACATCTGCGTATATAATGCTGATACATAGCCTATATTATATTGTTTAATTAATGACAAATTAATTACATTTAATTGTTAAACATGATCCACTGATGAAACTATTAATATTTATATAAATCAGGATGTCTGTATTGATGCATCCCTACTTAAAACCACAACTTGAAAACATGAATCCAGTTGAGCAGTTTTAGTTGATTAGTTAGTTTAATAAATATGATTTTATAGTAGTTTTTTATAGGTAAAATATTAATTACAATTATATTTTTATCTGATTTATGAAACACCAAAGATTTTCCTTTTGTTTATTGTAAATATTAAAAGTATATCATCGTTATCCGCACTGTATTTCTGGTGCTCTGGGGCTGAGAGCCCAATTCAGGCCATTTTATGTGACGTTTACATCTGGACGAGACCCTCCTCAACACACATGGGAAATCACACTGATTGTTTACACATTGCATGATGGGAAGTCGGACCGCTGTGTATACAGCTGGACAGAGGATATGAGAGACACTGATCTGTACAGCTGTTCGATTAAAACACATTTTGTAAGAGTTTTGAGTCCTTGTGTTTTATTGTTCCAGACATGTTCAAATGTGACTTACATAACAGCGTTACAACATATGTTTATTACTGAGAATATTCAGAGCTTTGACCTAATTATTAAAATACACACTTCTCAACAATATTCATTGGTATTGCAGTCAATAAAAGTGCCTTTAAATTAAAATTACAATTAGAATGATAGTGTACAAAAAGTTCTGAAAGGTCTGAAAATAGTCACATTAATATTTTTTGTCTATATAATAATAATTTACTTGAAAATGTTAAGGGGATAACCCATTTCTGATTACTTAATGTTTTTTGGTTAGCATGCTAACATTATCTGGACTTTATTCTGCTAATCCTATCAATTAAATAGAGGAAATATGCCATAAATTAGGGATTCATACTTAGAACATTTGTAATGAATGGATTCTTGGCCCACCCTGCTGAGAAATCCAGCTTAAACCAGCCTAGGCTTGTCAGCTGGTTTTAGCTGGTCGACCAGGCTGGTTTTAGAGGGGTTTTGACCACTTCCAGGCTGGTTTCCAGCCATTTCGAGCCTGGTTTTAGCTGGTCAGGCTGGGAGATTACCAGCTAAAACCAGCTTGACCAGCCTAGCCAAGCTGGAAGTCCAGTCAAAACCAGCTATATCCAGCTTAAACTAGGCTGGTGGTCAGGCTGGTTTTAGCTGGATTTGACTGGTCATTTTCCAGCCTGACCAGCTAAGACCATGCTGGAAATAGCTGGAAACCAGCCTAGAAATGGCCAAAACCCCTCTTAAACCAGGCTGGTTGACCAGCTAAAACCAGCAGGGCAATGACGGCAAATTACAATAAGTATCAAATGTATGACAATAAAAGCAGGTGTATCGATTAAATAAAAGAAAAATACTCAACATGTTTAACAATAATTTAGAGTATTTGACAGTTTATCAATCATGTTAAGGCGGCCATTTCATTGGAAGATGTTATTAAGCGGCGCGAAAAGTTCCCGGGCTTATTTATAAATCGGAAGAGAAACACGCTGCGGCTGATCGTTTTCAGCTGTAAACAAAGGTAAACAACGGTGGAATTGGATAATTACAAATAAAAAACAATATTAGTATACATCTATGCAGCAAATGTGCGTTTGAGGAGAAATCTGCTTTGTATTTGTTTATTAAATGGCGTCGCGTACAAATGTGACGTGAACTGACTGGTAAAAATAGCAATGGAGGTGTAAATTAAGGTAAGTGGCGTTTAATCTACTAACTTACATGCTATATATCTATTTAACGTTTCACAAAACTGTTCTAGTTAACATTAAGCGCCGCTTATGACTGTATTTGACTGGTGTGAGTTCAGGAAAACAAAAAACGCTGGCTTTTTGTTAACATTACGTGTAAAATAGTAATATGCAGGTGGACATCTGATCTGATAGCTTTGTTTTTGACGAGTCTTTCACTATATTTTAGACTTTCACAAGCATGTCAAATAATCGGTTTCCTGCTGAGGCCCAGCAGCTGTTTGCCTTCACGCTGAGCTGTAATCTCTCTCACACACACACACACACACACACACACACACACACACACACACACACACACACACACACACACACACACACACACACAGAGGAGAGAGAAACTACACGAGTTAACATAACACACACACACACACACCAGACAAGTTCACACAACACTCACATTTGGAAACCATTTATCTGGTACAAGCATGTGAAAGTCTGAGGTTTTTTCAGTGGACTACAAATGCTCCAGTACATACAGATATGCAAACACACAACTGAAACTTTGTTTATATGTGACCCTGGATCACAGAGATAAGTCATGAGAGTCAATTCTAGGATTTATGCATCATCTGAAAGCTGAATAAATAAGCGTTCCTGTAGTGTGTGGTTTGTTGGGGGATGTGATAATATTTGTCTGAGATACAACTATTGAAAATCTGAGCAAAAATTAAACCGTCTAAATTATACTATCTCTGCAATGCATATTACTAATTTAAAGTTAAGCTTTTATCAGTGCTGGTCAAAAAATTAATCATGATTAATAAACAAAATAATACTTTTATCTTAAACTTTTTGACATAATTTAAGTGTGTATGGTGTAGATTTATTAATAACTCATCTCTAATAACTGATTTATTTTATCTTTGCCATTATGACAATCATAATATTAGACTAGATCTTCTTCAAGACACTTCTGTAGAGCTTAAAGTGACATTTAAAGGGTAATTGGGTTAACTAGGCAGGCTAGGGTAATTAGGCAAGTTATTGTATAACAATGGTTTGTTCTGTAGACAATCCAAAACTAATAATAATTATTCGAATAATTCTGACTTAACAGTAAATACACACATGCATGCATGTATTTGAGAAAATGTTTATTTATATATATGTGCACATGACACATATTTAAATTGATATAATTTGTAATATAATGTTTGTTTCCATGTATGCGTGTATCACATATACATCATAAAAATATATAGAATACAAACACATCTATTATGTCAAAAACTTTTATTGTGGATGTGATTTAATCACGATTAATCTTTGCCCAGCCCTACTTTTTATATATTTACATAAGGAAATGTAGATAATTTTGACTCACACTTTGTATTTTTTGGCTATTTTTATAAATATACCCATGCAACTTTTGGTTTAGTCAAATTTCCAGAATAGTTTTACTATCTTGCAATTTGGACTCACTTTCTAAATTCTGAATTTTTTACTTGCAATTTATAGAACAATTCATAAAACTTTAACTTAAAATTGTAAAAACAATGCCTATGAACATGCAACTGCAACAAAAAATGTTTCAAGTAAAAATGGTAAGGTATAAATAAAAAAAAAAATCAGAATTGCAAGATATATACATTTAAATTGACTAATACTGTTAAATAAATGAGAAACTGCGAGATAATTTCCGTTTTTGTTGCTTTTTATTGTGGCAGAAAGAATAAAAATAATAATATATTTTACAAAAAACACTTTTTTTTTTTACATACGGTTTAATTTGCAAATGCTTACCAAGTACATTGCCAAGTGTAATAAGAAAACATCACAGCAGTATTGCAAGTGTATTTGATGACGTGTTATACTGAATTTATTTTAACTTTAAAAAGACAAGCAGAATAATGACACTAGAGTGAACATGAGCTGTGCATTTCTATGTTAGATTTATCTTATGAATTGATTTTCTTGAGTCTTTCCAGGCACATTGGGTTCATGCAGCTCCACCTGGTGGGGACAGACTGAAATGATTTCCACAAACATAATGCAGTTATACTCTATATTAGGGGTCACCAAACTTGTTCCTGGAGGGCCGGTGTCCTTTTAGCTCCAACCCTAATCAAACACACCTGATCAAGCTAATCAAGCTCTTACTAGGTATACTTGACACACCCAGGCAGGTGTGTTGAGGCAAGTTGGAGCTAAACCCTTGGTGACCTCTGCACTATGTATTAAAAGTTGAGAGTTTGGCGATGCTGTATTGAGTTCTTCCACTAAAGTGTAGTTTTATAATTGTAAACACAAATGTGGAGATGATGGAGGCCAGTAACAGGGAATATTCTCATTTGCTTGTTATGATCCGTGATGTGTTTTGGTGGTCAGTGCAGAAGCTGGTAAATCTTTTGGATTAGTGTGACGCTCAGTCTATAAAACTCATATTTCCCACAAATCACTGTGGTTTCATCAGGACCAGCGCACCAGGATTTTGTCGCCATCCTCCACCGAGTAAAACTGAAGCGGCTTCAGATCGTTGTCAATCTCAATCTCTCTGTCAGCCATCTGGAGGACAAATATAAAACAACACATCCAGTTTCAGATACTTTCTCTTAATGTTGTATTATTTACGATATAGTTCACCATAGGGCTGCATCATATTGGTATTTGGATATTGTGATATTTTTTTCCTTAGCGCTATATTTGTGATATAAATATAATTTTACCCAATGTCCTAAATATCTCTATTTGGAAAGATTTCATGAATTTAGGCCCCATTTACTCTAATGCGTTTTAGTTTGAAAAGGCATGAGTTTTGCTATGGTTACGCCATCCGTCCACACTAAAGCAGAGTTTTTAAGCGCCGAAAACTGAGTGTTTTGGAAACGCTGGAGAGGCCAATTTCATTCTGAAGCGCTGCTGCTGCGTCTCAGTGTGAATGAGGGAAAACGGAGACATCTGAAAACGGAGGCGGGGCTGCTGAGATTCGCTACCTGATTGGGGCTTTTGTTTCATTGCGTATCCTTCCCTTATTCGTCAAGCCCCTATCACATGACTATAACACATGGCTTTAACACTACCGGGAGACAGCAGACCAGCCTTCACTGTAAACAACAACATGGACACAGAAATGGGAGCGTTGTTTGCACTATTGTGAGTTTTAGGCGGCATTGTGCAGTTATTCATTTGTTATGTTTAGTAGCAACTCAACCTCGTCGTCTGTCCACAAAAATACCTCTCTTGCTTTCTTTCCCATCGCGTTCATTGTTCAACCGGCATTTGTTGACTAACAATAACAAAATGCAGAGCGAGACACATGCTTTCTGTTTATACAAGAACGTGCATGCCCAGAGTGCGCGAATGGTCACGTGATGTACGTTTTTGGTGACGTAGTGTGGACGGAGATATGTTCTGAAACGCTAGTGTGGACGCGCCAGATCGTTTTTGATCTAAAACAACGTTTTAAAACTAAAACGCACTAGTGTACATGGGGCCTTAGACTAATTGAGATGAGAGTGCGTCTGCATAAAAATAAACAAATGAAAAACACAGATAAATACAGCAGAGATGAAGATGAAGAGGAAATAAATGATACTTTATGGATTTATCAATATCCAAATACAGAAACTCAATAATTAATCTAAAACAGCACTGTATAGTCGTCACTGTATCAATGATTAAATCACTGTTAAAGCTACAAACATGATCATTTCTTGTGCTTAAATGTTATAAATTAGCTTGAAATGTCTTATGCAAATGAAAATCCTTCATTCTATTAGGGTGACACATTGCAGTGACTCCTCTAATCTCATGTGTTCTCAGCTGTGGTGTCTGCGTATTATTAATCCAGTTTAACTTTGCAGATTCTGTGATGTTTATTGCATATTCACACATTGAAATAGATAGCGATGCTGATTTGACATATTGTGCAGCCTTCCTAACAATAACATTAAACACAATCGTATATTAATAATTATCCTTATTGTGCTTGTGCTTTAGCCTTGTATGTTTAATCGAACATGTGGTAAAAGTCACCTAATCTCATATTAAAAGGTATTTAAAATCTGTATTTCATACAATTTCTTGGTTCATGTTTTCTAATCCTCTTGGCGCCCCTAAAATGTAAGCATTGATCTAGTAAGTCTGATCTAGGTGCAGCTGTTAAATGCCATGAAGCTGAAGTACAGTATTCTTGAAGACACGCTCTGTGATTATTATCAGTGGTTTTACCTTGGCGCAGGTGTATGTGAGCTTTAACTCCACTCCTGGTAATTTGAGCAGCCGGTGTAAAAGCCCCTTCACCTTCTGAACGATCATCGACCCTGAAAACAACACAAAACAGAAAACAGACTGTGTTTTAAGTAAGGGGTAATGTACACACAGCTGATTATGACAGAATAAAGCCCAACAGGTTTGTCAGCAGCTGTTGTATAAAACTGATGGGTTTATTCTGTAACATCAACCAGCTGGATGAACATTATCCTGGTCACTACACGGTTGCTGACCACAACACTTAAGTATTGGATCTGAACTTTTTAATCAAATGTTCAGCTTGCAGAAAGGAAATTGCCACTAACCTGATTATTATTATTATTATTAATATTATTTAGTAAAAAAAATAGCACCAAACTGTCAAGAACAGCGAAGTGATGGATATATGAATATAGATGTAAATATAATAAAAATAAGCACTAGGGCTGTGCAATTAATCGAAAATCCGATTTCGATTTTTGGCTTCTAACAATTATGAAAAACCATTAAACGAGATAAACGATTATTGCATCATATACCAACACACGCACATGCATAAGCACGCGATCAGCATTCGGTCTCATTCGCACACTGAGATGAGCAGAGGAGCGCAGACATCTAAAGTAATCTAAACGTGAGCGCTTTAGTGGTCAAATAGGTGTCAAAACGCGGTGTTTAGTGATTATTCATATTAACCCTCATTTGCGTAATAAACAAACGAGTTGAGAATCAAAAGACACGTGAAAGAGAAACCATAAAGTGACAGTGCGAAATGCTGCCGCCTGTTTTATCATTAATCAAACGACGAGAACATCCCTTACTGCTCCTGACTGAAGGATTTTTGTAGCTAAAGTGTTTTTCTTAGGGTGAAGATGCTTAAATCACAGTTTGTTTCATATTTTTATTCTATTGTATTTATTTCTCTTTCCTTTGCAGGGTGGAAAATAACTGCACATATATATATATATATATATACAGTTGAAGTCAGAATTATTAGCCCTCCTGAATATTAGCAACCCTTTTCCTCCAATTTCTGTTTCATTGAAAAGTTTTTTTTTACGTATTTCTAAACATAATAGTTTTGATATCTCATGTCTAATTACTGATTTGTTTTATCTTTGCTATGATGACAGTACATAACATTTTACTAGATGTTTTTCAAAACACAAGCATTTAAATTAAAGTGCAGTTCAAAGGCTTAACTAGATTATTAAAGTTCGTCGAGACAAACTTTAGGCTGGCTTGAGAAAGTCTGTTGGAAATAGTTTGTTTAATTTAAACAGTTTTAAAAAGTATGAAACGAAGATAGATAGATAGATAGATAGATAGATAGATAGATAGATAGATAGATAGATAGATAGATAGATAGATAGATAGATAGATAAAAACAGTTTATAGATAGATAGATAGATAGATAGATAGATAGATAGATAGATAGATAGATAGATAGATAGATAGATAGATAGATAGATAGATAGATAAAAACAGTTTATAGATAGATAGATAGATAGATAGATAGATAGATAGATAGATAGATAGATAGATAGATAGATAGATAGATAGATAGATAGATAGATAGATAGATAGATAGATAGATAGATAGATAAAAACAGTTTATAGATAGATAGATAGATAGATAGATAGATAGATAGATAGATAGATAGATAGATAGATAGATAGATAGATAGATAGATAGATAGATAGATAGATAGATAGATAGATAGATAAAAACAGTTTATAGATAGATAGATAGATAGATAGATAGATAGATAGATAGATAGATAGATAGATAGATAGATAGATAGATAGATAGATAGATAGATAGATAGAAGATAAAAGCAGTTTGAAAAAGGATAGATAGATAGATAGTTTTGAGGTCACAAAGTTAGATCTATTGTTAAGTCAATGACAGTCTTTTGCAATAAAAGTCTATGGGACAGTTGTTGCTAGGGTGCAGTATCTGGTAGTTAGGGTGTGGCTAGAAAGTTAAAAGCTCATCAGTGATTGGCAGTTTGGTAGTCTGAGTTAAATGAGCTCAGCCATTAGTCTGTATGACAGTCTGATGCAGAGTTATGAGCTCACAAATTTTGATCCCATGTTAAGTCAATGAGAGTCCTTTGAATGGAAGTCTATGGGACAGTTTCTAGGGTCCAAAAGTGGTTGCTAGGGCGTGGCCAGAAAGTTAAAACCTCATCAGTTATTGGCAGTTAGGTAGTCTGAGTTAAATGAGCCTATTAGAAGTCTGTGTGACAGTCTGACGCAGAGTTATAAGGTCACAAAGTTTGGTCCAATGTTAAGTCTATGGGATTTTTCCGACGGTCCCGGGACGTTTTTCGGAAAATCGAAAGTCGGATCAGTCGGAAAAGATATGGCATACCGAGTCAGAATAGTTTGGAGGTCTGGTGTGAGTTTGGGGGTCATAGCTCGAAAGCTCTAGGAGGAGATAGATTTTGAATTTTAGTCTCAGAAGAAGAAGAATAATATATAAAAAAAATAATAAGTTTAAATAGGATTTCAGTAGTCTGGCTTGTTTCTCAAGCCAGCCTAATTAGAGTAATTAGGCAAGTCATTATATAACAGTCGTTTCTTCTGCAGACAATCAAAAAATATATTGCTTAAGGGGGCGAATAATATTGACCTTAAAATGGGTTTCAAAATATTTGAACCTGCTTTTATTCTAGATAAAATAAAACAAATAAGACTTTCTCCAGAAGTAAAAATATTAGAGGAAATACTGTTAAAATTCCTTGCTCTGTTTAACATAATTTGGGAAATAGTTATTTTAAAAAAACTAAATTCTCAGGAGCGCTAATCATTTTGACTTCAACTGATAATCGTTTAGAATAATCGTGATTACAGTTATGACCAAAATAATCGTGATTATGATTTTTTCCAAAATCGAGCAGCCCTAATAAGCACTAGGGGTCAGGATGACTCGTAGTACCTGGATGAGATGAGTAATTAGTGATTAACACGCCTTGTAATGTCATTATTGACCAGAATCAGAATCAAGTTTTCCAGACAGCCTTGTTATAATGTGTTTTTACCTGGCAGCTTCTTCTCAATGGGCTTCCTCTCCAAATCCTCTGGACAAAGAAACGTTATGGCTGAAACCAAAGCAGAAATGTTGAGATGAGACCATATATTGATGTTATCAGTGGTCCTTATAGATTTCACGATGGTGATTTCATACTTAATAATTGATTTTTTAGAGCAAATGGTTTCTGTTCTCTTAGCTCGCCCTCATCTGGAGCGCCATACTCTAAAACAAACAAAGACATCAGTTGGGTTTAACCACACAAAACAAATTCGTCATCAATAAAACCTAACAAAAATTGTTAGGGGCCGATAGGGTTGTCATGATGCTGGAATTCGATACCAATCAATACTTAAATGTTAGCGAGAAATGGACATTTTCAAAATTTAAGCGCTATTGAGCACTTTTTTAAACAGCTCTGATTTGCCATTGTGTTCATGTGCTCAACAGAAATGACTGTGATTGGCTGTGAAGGTCATCAGTTCACCGAACTCACCGCTGTTTACTGAGTGTAAACACAGATACAGGGACACTGGAGCATTTCTGGTTTATTTATAAGCTGACATAGGAGCGATCCGCTGTTGAATCAACTGATCTTCACTGTATTGAAACGCTCCAGTATCCCTGTATCTGTGATATCTAATTCCAGTATCGTGACAACCCTAGACAACCTTGATCACGTCAAACATGATTTTTTTTTTTACTTTGGAAAAGAGCAGTGCACTGTCCTTTTTTGTGCCTAACTGTTATAGCGCTTGACCTTGGGTGCTTTTTCAATTTGGAAAGGTACATTTTTTTTAACTGCATGTGCACACAGTGCTCTGTCCAAAATGTGAGGCGTACCGCACAACCTTATTTTTTACTTTAGAAAAAAAGCAGTGTACTGCGCTTTTTATGTTGCTAGGTAACAACTGTATCAATGGTCTTGGTGCTGGAGTGCATGACATCGGGGGCTTTTTGAAAAATGTTTTTAAAACTAAATGTGCACAGTTGCCTAAAAACATAATGGCTAATTATGATGGCTAAAACACAATAAACAGTTTACAAACGTGAAACATATTAATAGAAAGTCATTTTTGAAAAGCACCTCTCATTGCAAAATAAAACGTGCTCAGTATGATCAAGACCTTAAACAACTAATAAAATTAATCAAAATGTCAACAAAAAATTAGGGGATTCATAAAGATAAATTAAAAAATCCAAAGCACTCGAAGTGCAAAAAGTTTTCATTAACATGGTATCGTATAAAAAAAATAAATAAAACAATAGCCATGTTATTAGCTTTTTAACTTGCGTGGACTTGATTTTTTTATTTATTTTTTTATCTTTATGAATCCCTTATCCAAAAATCACTGACACATCACATCAGTTTGATTTTGCATTTATTCACTAAAAATGTAATTAGCCAATGGGATTCCACTGGGGGTGGAGCTTCCCAGCAGAGTTTAAACAGAGCCTCACTCTGGATGAGCGTGAGGTATCTCGGGTGTTCAGTCATGAAGTCTGTGTTCGGGTTGTTTTTCTCCGCTTCTCTGTGACCTCCAGCCCTCAGCCATGCAGATCCAAACATCTTACAGTAATCCAGCTCCGCACCCCTCCGCTCATCCGACAAAATCTGAGAACAACACGAGACATCAACCTTATTAATTATATCCGACAGGCCTCTGCATCTTAGGAGGTTTAATGTGGAGTCGAGATTATAGTTGATCAGCAGCACAGGTCACAAACATAATAGCTGAACTCTTAATTGTACATTTTTATTTGATGAGCAGTACTGGGACTGCACAATATATTGTTTCAGCATCACTAGCTATGCTTCCATTCACTTATTTCTAGGCTAAACGCTTCAAACGCTATTGGCTATTTATGAAAAGGGGGAGGAGCTACAATATGTCCCGCCCTGTCCTCATGTTTCAGTTGAGATTACGTCAAACATCAACTATAAATGCACAATTAAAAGCACTTCACAGGATTTGTTTAAGTAGTAGGCACTGGACTCACCTGTCTCATGTCGAGCAGCTCTAGTTGACCCAGCCGTGCGATCATTATTTGTCGCGCCGTCTCCAGGTTTTTCTCTTTATGCAGCAGCGGGTTCCTCCTGCAGGATAAATAAACCAGAGACGGCAGCTTCTCCAGCTCATTTACCACACGCCACTGCACACACACACACACACATTAAATAAGCAAACTAAAAAAATGACTATCAAAATTAATACTAGAATTAAAGTACTAAATCTAATAATAACAAATAAGGCTGTGCAATATGACAATATATATCTTGTGGACAAAAATAAAAAGTCTTATCGTTTCATATTATGCTCTATAGTTTAGTGGTGTCGTGAAATACAGTTTATAGCTTTTAATAATTTATATGAGCGCCATATATTACACACCATAACAGAGATGCAGACAGAAACATGACTTACAGCATCAAGAGAAAGTTACAATCTTATAGTTTTTGTATTTAATTTAGCCATATTTTATGTTGGGCCTTTAATAATTTTATATTTAATTCAGATTTATATATATGATTATTAGGATATGAGATTTTACATCTGCTATAAATGCATCTCAATGATAATGAAATAAACAGATTCACTAATACTCACCTCTGATATGTTGTTGTCGTCTAGTAAAAGTTCCTTCAAGGCAGGAAAAAGTGTTGTCTTCTTGCCTTCACAGCACACAAATATTATTTAATATATATATTTTTTTACATCAACACATAATAAAAATATAAAGACTGTCGTTGTAAATGAATATACCTGCTGGAACATCACTGAACTTAATTTCTGATAAACTGGTGCTCGACAGATTCAACCTCTCCAGCCTGAAGACACAAAGATTTATTTATTTATCATACAGTAATGATGTTTAGGATTTTTCTTGCCATTATTTATTTATTTTTACCGGGGTAAATGTGAGATTTCCAGTACAGTCTCCTGGGCTATTTGGTTATTGGACAGATCCAGAACTGTTAACGCCTGTAGCACGTGTTCTGGTCTGAATAAAGGAAAGTTATTTGCATATTGTTCTAATACTCATGTTCTGTGATATGAATGTTATCATTTAGTGACATACCTTAGTAATTCTGTGATGTTGTTGTCAGCCAGATAAAGTTCCTCTACCTGCTGCCACATGGGGGCGCAATGAAGAACCTGACAAAAAATAAAAAATTAATTACTACTGATTTCTCATGCACTACTAGTCAAAAATGTAGAATAAATGCACTATTCTGCTCACTAAATTAGCATTTTTAAAAATCAAATACACAGCAATATTGTGCAATGTTATTACAGTTAATAACAGCTAACATCGATAGTAATCAGAAATGTCTTTCTATAAGCAAATATGCATTTTTAAATGTCTTTTGAAGAATCATGAGATAATTAAATTTTACAATATACTGACAGAAAAAAATGATATTTTAAATTGGAATATTATTTCACAATTTTCTCTTATTTGCATTTTTTACTTTACGACTGAATCAAACAAATGCAGTAAATAACATTTTCCAAACCCTTTGTCTAGTAGTGCACTAAGTACATAATATAAAGTACAAAGTAATCTAGTTGACCAGTGAATCAGCACAAATCAAATCTGTACTACATTGAGTTTGGATTGATCATTTCAGACCTTCTTGTTCATACAGTACATGTTACCTGAGTCCAGGTGAGCGCGCAGCTGTTGATTGACAGGACCCTCAGATGGGAGAAGGCGGAGCTTAAAGAACTGGGGGCGCTGGAGATGCTCAACCTGTTGTGACTGCAGAGAGGTACATAAAGCACTTTGAGCACTCGGACCTGATCTATTCAGACACTTGTAATGAGATTTAAATATAAGTAAGAATTAAGGATGTCACTATTATGACATTTGGCTTTTGATTAATGGTTCAAGAAATAATTGCGGCTATGCAATAAATTGTCTGTTTTAGGGCTCATACAGAGTGTATATAATATTGTAGGGAAAATATTTAAACACACTCACTGGCCACTTTACTAGGTACATCTGTCCAACTGCTCGTTAACGCAAATTTCTAATCAGCCAATCACATGGCAGCCCCTCACTGCATGTAGACGTGGTCAAGACAATCTCCTGCAGTTCAGAGTGAGCATCAGAATGGGGAAGAAAGGGGATTTAAGGGACTTTGAACGTGGCATGGTTGTTGCTGCCAGACGGGCTGCTCTGAGTATTTCAGAAACTGCTGATCTACTGGGATTTTCACGCACAACCATCAAGGGTTTACAGAGAATGCTCCGACAAAGAGGAAATATCCAGCGAGCCGCAGTTCTGTTAATGCCTTGTTGATGAGGCCAGAGGTCAGAGGAGAATGGCCAGACTGGTTCCAGCTGATAGAAAGGCAACAGTAACTCAAATAAGCACTCGTTACAACCGAGCTCTGCAGAAGAGCATCTCTGAACACACAACACGGCCAACCTTGAGGCGGATGGGCTACAGCAGCAGAAGAGCACACCGGGTGCCGCTCCTGTCAGCTAAGAACAGGAAACTGAGGCTACAATTCACACAGACTCACCAAAACTGGACACTAGAAGATTGGAGAAACGTTGCCTGCTGTGACTCACGGTCAAGTCACAATTTGCCCTCAACAACATGAAAGCATGGATCATCCTGCCTTATATCAGCGGTTCAGGCTGGTGGTGGTGGTGTAATGGTGTGGGGGAGATTTTCTTGGCACACTTTGGGCTCATTAGGACCAATCAAGCATCTGGTCAACGAATAAGGCAGTTCTGAAGGATAAAAGGAGTCCAACCCGGTTCTAGTAAGTTGTACCTAATATAGTGGCCGGTGAGTATATATATGTGCATATTAGTAATTCAAATGATTGAATTTAGATGAAGTCCAACACAATCACAATACAATACAGGCCCAGCCCTACCTAGTAGGACTAGAATGACAGTAATGAATGACCTGAGATGCAGCTCCTGCAGGGAGTCCAGCTGCTCCGTAATGGCTGCCAGCACTTCCCATGAGCTCAGCAGATTTCCAGAAAGATCCAGAGACTGAACGACTGAGAGACGCTGTTAAAGGTGCTGTATGTACGTTTTTGACTCCTATATTTAAGAAACGTGCTACTGTAGGTGAACATACTTGTTCTTCTGAAAAGCAATGCTAAAGTCAGTTATTCTGATTATACAATTATAGTTTTAATACACACATGAGGTGCAAACAGTTAATTAATTAGCAAACAATATTCAAATATTCCAAATGTAAACCTTTGATTGGCTTAAATGTAATGGTGTGCTGTGAATAACCTGAGGCTGAATCTCAGCTTGTACAGGCATTCAGAAAATGTGACTTAATGCCTTGTGTTAATGTTATTATTATTAAATGACATTTATTCACAAAGAGTTCATTCGGATGTCAGACCAATGTTAAAACCAAACACATTACAAGAGCAGAGCAATAAAATAATACATATTAAATGACTGTAATTACTTTATCCTGGATTCAAACCCAATCTGTCAGGAACACTAACCGCTCCACTACTAATGTCCTGAATGATGTATTTGGGTGTTCTCAGTGAAGGATACATGGTGTTGTGTTTCTGATCTCGTTCTCTGGGCCCGGAGCTGAAACTTCACATCTCCTCAGACCGACTTCTGTCAGGTTCTTCACACTGTGACCGCACAAACAACATCACAGATCACTTCCTAATAGCAGAGTTATTCCTATAGATATGATGATTACATGTGCTACACATTGATGGATTTGCTGCTCAGCGTTTAGACCCTCAATAGTGACTAATAAACCACATCGAACTGAGCTGAACTTAAATGCTGAACTAAACTGTTTCAATGTGCTATGATCTTTTTATGTGAAGCTGCTTTGACACCGTCTACATTGTAAAAGCGCTGTACAAATAAAGCTGAATTGAAAAAATTGGCCAAAATATGCAAAAACAAACACTTAAGTTATGCAAGCCGTTTTATTCCTTAAAACTCTATATTTTAATTGCATTTATTATTTAAAAATCTATTAGATTTTTATTTAGATTTTAATTAAATTTTATGTTATAGTAGAGGGCAAAATTATAAGCCCTCCTGTAAAATATTTAGTCTTCTTTAAAAAATGTTCACTTGATATTAGGGAAAATTTTCACAGTATTTCCAATCATGTTTTTCTCCTGGAAAAAATCTAATTAGTTTTATTACGCCTAGAATAAAAGCAGTTCTTAATTTTTATTAAAGTCATTTTAAGCTCAATATTATTAGCCCCTTCAGCAATATTAGTGTTGGATTGTCTCCAGAACAAACCACTGTTATACAATGACTTGCCTAATTACCCTAACTTCACCCTAATTACCCTAGTGAAGCCTTGACATGTCACTTTAAGCTGTATAGAAGTGTCTTGAAGAATATCTAGTCTAATATTATTTACTGTCATCATGACAAAGAAATCAGTTATTAGAAATTAGTTATTAAAGCTATTATGTTTAGAAATGTTTCATCTTCTCTCTTAAGGCAAGGCAAGGCAAGGCAAGTTTATTTATATAGCACATTTCATACACAATGGCAATTCAAAGTGCTTTACATAAACAAGAATAAAAGAAACAAGTAAAATAAAAATAGAAACAAATAATAAAAATGCGTAAAAACAAAACATAAAAACAGGTAAAATGTGATATAAAAGTATGAAGAAGAAGAGAAAAACATGATAGTGCAATCTGTCGGACGCAGCACAGTGCTCATTCAGTAAAGGCTCAGCTAAACAGATGTATAGATGTATATAACAGAAATTGTGGAAAAAATATAAAAACAATTCGACTTTAACTGTATATCGTCATATTGCACAGCCATAGTTTAGAAAATAGTTTGACATTTGAAGCGAATCAAATAAAAAGGTTTTCCAAAGACATGAACAGGTGTTATTAAATAGTTTTAGGACAACTTTGATGCATTTCAAATGTTGACTACTGTAGATGTAAAAGCAGTGCTGTAATGATGAGTGAAAGTTCACCTCTGCTTCTTCTTGACATTCTCAAAGCCGACCATGACGACAGTTTTGCTGGAGATCTTCATCTCTTCTGCCGTCACCTCCTCTATCTCCACCTCATAGCGCTGCTTCAGAGCCGTCACATAATCCACTCCAAAACTGGCCTTTTGGGGCCTCACAAAAGAGCCGCCCGTCGGGTGCCTGACCACAATAACAAAAGTATTTTGTTATTTTGTTAACAAAACATATTTTGCTTTTCCATCACTGATGTTTGTAAAAAAAAAAAAAAACTATATGCAGAATTATTTTACACCGTCAAATATATCTGTTAATTATCAGTTTCTGTATTTAGCAGATATGTTATATATGTTATAGAAATAATAAGACTTTTGAGCACCTGCAGGTGAAATATCGCACTCCGTCATGACTGCCATCATGCTTTCCTCTCTCTGGATGATCCCACTCCACTCCCAACCACACACCTAAAGACAGACATCAAGCTGAAGTGTAGAATCAAACAAAACGTGCTTCAGGGGTAATAAATGAAGATACACAAAAAATTGTAAGTCCAAAATTGCTCAAATTAAGTGTGTTCCAGAATGCAAGGTTAAGAAACGCTCCACTTTGGGGACATTTTGCAGCTCTCCTAGAATAAAACAAATGGACTTTACCATTTTTGAATGCATCTTCAAGTCTAGCTGGAGCACTTTTAGCTTAGCTTTTCATGAATCAAATTAAACATTAGCTTAGCATAGACAATTAAATCGGATTAGACCATTATCAACTAAAAAAATAATAAAGCCTGTATTACAAGAGAAAGGATGAAAGAAAGAAAATAGAAATCCATACTTTCTCTTTTCTGTGCAATAATTTGGAAGTTGCCATGAAATGTTACACTAACAATGGCAAGAAAAGTAACATTGGCCCTTTTTGAAGCTTCCATTTATATATAAATAAATTTAATACAATCACAAGATGACTGAAAATGCACATTATTTAGATAGTCAAGGATTGTGCTTAGGCCTTTACACTGTAAACTGATCTGTATATGTACTTTGTTAATATGACCTGTAACTGTTCATTTCAGTTCCGATGTTATTGTATTTTTATTCATTTATTATTTTCTTCCTTAGAAAATAAATAAAAATAAAGTATTATAATTAGATTTTTGAAGCTATCAAAATTTATTATTTTTTTAGCAGCCCTAACAAAAAAAATTCCAGAGCCGCTACTGGTTCCTATATACAGAGTGCAATGATATATATGAAAATATGTGGTAAATTAGAGGTGGTTGAAGTGGGAAATGGCCTGGGAATTACACTGTTCTGGTGTCTGGCTGTTTTGGTGCATAATGCTCTGTAGCTCTGGGTCAAATGCAACAGTGCAAAGAGAAATTAATGAACCAAGGAATGAACCACCAACTTATCCAGCATATATTTTACACAGCGGATGCCCTTCCAGCTGCAACCCAATACTGGGAAACATCCACACACACATTTATTCACACACATACACTATGGACACCAGAGCTATACACACACACACACACATATATATATATATATATATATATATATATATATATATATATATATATATATATATATATATATATAGCCCCCCTGACTTATTAGCGCCCCTGTTTATTTTTTTCCCAAATTTCTGTTTAATGGAGGGAATATTGTTTCAGCACATTTCTAAGCATAATAGTTTTAGAAACCTATTTCTAATAACTGATTTATTTCATTTTTGTCATGATGACAGTAAATAATATTTTACTTGATATTTTTCAAGGCACTTCTATACAGCTTAAAGGGACATTTAAAGGCTTCACTAGGTTAATAAGGTGAACTAGGCAGCTTAGGGTAATTAGGCAAGTTATTGTATAACGATGTTTTATTCAGAAGATTATCGGAAAAAAAATTAGCTTAAAGGGGTTAATAATTTTCTCCCAAAATTGTTTTTTTAAAAATTTAAAACTGCTTTTATTCTAGCCAAAATAAAACAAATAAGATTTTCTCCAGAAGAAAAAATATTATCAGACATACTGTGAACATTTCCTTACTCTGTTAAACATAATTTGGGAAAAATTAAAAAAGGGGGCGAATAATTCTGACTTCAACTGTATATATATATATATATATATATATATATATATATATATATATATATATATATATATATACAATTAGGAATGAACACAGACCTGCAGTGGGAGGAACTGGACCGACATAACGGACGGTTCCTCTTTCTCCATCACAACACACACGTCTGCCCACAGCCTCGTCCAACATCATCAACACACTGCTAAAACACTGACACAATAACAAGATATTAATTAACATGCTTATCAAAGAGTACTGCTATCATGAAAGCAATGAGTAATGAATAATACCACGCTAGCACACCCTAAAAGTTCAAGTATAGTACAAGTATTCACATTAAATAATTATGAGACATTTTTATCATCTTGGAAACAGGTTCTATATGACATTTGTCAAAATGGTCAGACTTTACAGTAAGGTTTCATTAGTTAATGTGTTTACTAACGTGAACAATAATTTATCACATTTCAACATTTACTAAATGTCAATTATTAGTCAAATCCATTGTTGTGCTTCTTAACATTGGTTAACGCACTGAGTTAAGAATGATCGACTTTATTTTCAGTAGCTAACATTAACAAAGATGAATGTACTAAATGTATATTATGTATGACTGTAATAAATGTATATTTCATTATTTGTTCGTGTTAGTAAGTAAATCTTAATATAAAATGTTATCTTTAATATAAATCCCACATTGTTTTCGATAATTTATATACATTATGTGACGTGTTTAACCTAAATACCTCAAATCTACTTTGAAAATGAACATTGAACCACATCATTCCTAAAACATAGCTTAAATACAGCTAAACTCCTAAAATATAGCTCTGTATTCCTCTATTTTCCCTACAGATTGTTAGATAAGTGACGTCCGCGATTACTTACTCGTGTCTGTATATATTAAATTAGCTTTATAAAACATCTCGTATGAGCTTAAACAAGCAGAGAATGTGAATTAGGAGCGGCGACTTACATGTTAAACAATAATAACGGAATGAAAACATCTCCGCATCATTCTCACCTGCAGAACCGGCAACCGGATGTAGCATCACAAGGTTTCGCGCCTAATGCTGCGCCGACGAGAAACATTACAGTTGCAAAAGCGCTGCTGTTACTGAGTTTGTGTCATGTAGATTTCCTTTTAAAAAACAAATGCTATTAGAGTGATGTGTAAACCTTATTATATTCATCAAGAGCCGCGTATTTTGGTGTGCCACTCGAGGAATATTTCTCACTAGGAACTGATTATGAGTGTTTGTGGTTTCCAAGAGACAGAAAAACTGCGCATGCGCGGGGCAGCGAAATAAACGTGTTTATGTGTGAAACTTCAGCACCTCGCTGTAACTTTAATTACGCTTAACTTACAGAAATATCGTCCAGATCATTCTACATAGACATGCGCTCTGAGTGACATCATGAAGAAGGAGATTAAAAAGAGGTTTGTTTTTATACGTTTTATTACCCGCTATAACTGATTAAACATCAAGATTGTTTTCTGAATTTATTGTTTTAAGTAATTTATAGTCAATATTATATAACAGATTAACCATACTACAGTAAGGTCTATTATACTGCATATATTAGTATCTACAACTGTTAATGACTGCACCAGCATTCTGTGAACTGATCAGCTGTAATAAGTGCTGTACTATACATTAGTTTTAGAGTAAACCGGGCTGTTTTGTAGTGTAATACACACACTTGTGGAAAACTTAGTACAGCATTGGGTCATTTGTTTATTTTATTTTAGATGTTGTACTACAGGATTACCGCAAACGATTAAATTAAGTGTTTAACTACTATAGTATGATTTAACTGAGGTAAAGTTGTTTTTTTATTCGCACATTCGTTCATTTTAACGGTCCCTATAGAGTTTACCACTCAACTTTGAATATTGGGTGTGAAATGGCATGTATGAATGACTTCAAAACAACATTAGCACTGTTTAATTGACTGAACAATGTTTTATTTTGATCGTCATCGGCAGCTAATATGATTTCCATAATCAGAATTTGCAAACAATACTTTTCATTCATTTTCTCGTCGACTTAGTCCCTTTATTAATCCGGGGTCGCCACAGCAGAATGAACCGCCAACTTATCCAGCAAGTTTTTACGCAGCGGATGCCCTTCCAGCCGAAACCCATCTCTGTTAAACAAACAATGCTTTTATAAAATGATATTATTGAGAAAGTCTGAATGTGCAAATATAAAACCAACTTTACCTCAGTTATGTTTCAGAAACGCTATGGTGTTTACTATACATTACATACATTTATATTAACTTGCTAAATTGTAACTGGATTTCACATGATTTTTATGGGTGAAAGATAAGCCTTACTACTTTGGAGTCTACATCAAATTAAATTTAGCTTGGTGATTTATTATAAACAGAAGGAATATTGGATTGTGGTATTTATTTACTATATTAATTTTTCAGCTGGTACTTTCAAGGGAAGAATCAAATATAATAAACACACACACATACACATGGGCTGCTATAAGATTCTGATGGTATGATAACCTCGGATAAAAATATCACGGTTTTGTGATGAAGACAATGTATTTAACTTTCAGTAACATTTAAAATATTTTGGAGCTGTAAACATGACAGGCTTAATGAATTATTGACTTCTGCTGTCTTCATTTGTTTCTTAAACACAGATTTTCTTGTACAATTTAAAAAAGCTTCTTTTGTGCTGGAGATACTGTTGTCCTAAAAAAAAAACAAATAAAAAAATCGTACACATACCTTAGGCACATTATTGCAGAAAATTTTGACTGTTTTGAAACCTTGACTTTTCCAAACCGCAGTATACCTCAAACTGTTATTGTCCCATGCCTAATAAATAAATAAATATATATATATATATATATATATATATATATATATATATATATTGCATTAGGGTTGCACGATACTGGAAAAATTAGTGACATGCAATATTGTGATATTTCTTATCATATAATATTTCCGTTGGAAAAAAAAAGTTAAATGCATTTATGTAACGATATTAAAATAAACGGGTAAAATATATTTTTCAAATCTAAATAAATATAATTTATAAAAAGCTGTCATAGTGCCAACATGAACTCTTTAAAAAACACTGCGAATGAGTGAAAAGCTCATCTGATTGGCTGTTGTTATTTTCTGCTCTTGTCTTGACTCCGCCCATTAGTGTTTATTTTCAGCTCTGGGTTCAGCTTCCAGCTAAACAGCACCTACTGTGGAGGCGGAGCTAGAGATAGCAAGGCCCCATCCAATTGGTTAAATCTATATAAACAATCAATGCAGAAAATAAATGTAATTCATCACACGTCTGCGGTGTGTATATTGCATATACTATTATCATATAACAATCATTTCACAATATATTGTGCTGCCCTAAACTGCATCTTTTGATATTGTATTGTGAGTATATTGAGGATGTTTGTGTTAACTCAGTTTTCTTGTTGTTTCAGCAGTGATGGTGGCGATGCTGGAGGATATAAAGTCGGTCAGGTGTCCGGCAGCCTCTTCCCAGAAAAACACAAATCCTCAGCTCTGTCTTCATTATTCGCCTCCACTTCATCTGCAAATACTTTAGTGTTCCTTCCTCCACCAAAAGTACGTTTTTTATGGTCTCCGACATCATTTGGTGTCTATAGAGCAGGGATGTTGAACTCAATTCCTGGAGGGCCGCAGCCCTGCACAGTTTAGTTCCAACCCTGCTTCAGCACACTTACTTGTAGGTTTCAAACTCTGCATGGAGTGTATGTATTTCATGTTTGACATCTGTGTTTTCTCTCATTAGATTGAGCCTAAAGTCACGCCTGCAGTGTCTGATAATGCAGTAGTCAAGAGCAAAGATCAGGTTCAGAAACAGAAGAAAAAACCAAAGACTCTTTCAGCTGCTGAGAAGAAACTCCAGGACAGGTAACCTAGCATCCCTCCATTGTCATATTAAACATGGTTTAGGTTCAAACTGTTACAATCCAGATCTGGAACAGTAATGGAGCTTAAATATACACTCTGCGACATGCCTAAAACAGAAATATATGCATGTTCATTATATTATTGTTTTTAAAGGGTCATGAAACAGCAAAACACATTTTTTGAGCTGTTGACAGTAGTATATGTGTCCCACATTGCTAAAAACACTATTAGGACACGTATATCTCACTAAAAAGTACTAAAGACGCGGCTCCAGTTGGTGTTGTTTGTCCTGTCTCTACAGATTTGGCAAGCGAGCGACCAGTGGTCTGTGTTTGTTTATTCAGGTGGCAAAGTTATTTCGTATCGAACTAACTATTAAACCGAGTGTAAACATGTTAGCATTACAATCAAACTTACCGTTGTGTTGGATTTTCACTGCATTTTGTGACCGGAATAACCAGGCCCGGATTAAGAACTCAGGGGCCCCTGGGCACATTGTCTTGTAAGGCCCCCTACCTGGCTGCACCCCTATAGTTGAATTTAAAAAATAAGAATAATATAATCATTTTTAAATAAAATGAATCTATAATTTGTTGCCCACATATTTAAATAAATGATATATAGTACATATGTATTGATAGTCTACAAAGATTTAATTTATTTTTCAAAGCATTGAATAAAAATACTAATAAAACTATATATATATACAGATAACCGAGGTAATACTGGAAACCGGTGTAAAATAGGGAGGAGGTTTGACGGTATCAAAATCTGGATACTTCTCAAGCCTTGTGCGTGTGTGTGTGTGTGTGTGTTTGATGCCTCTGTAAAAATCAGCGGGTGCCCAAACCAAAACTCCCATTTTTATGCAAATTTTTACAGACTCCTTCTTTTGCTCCTCTGACACTCCCCCCTACACAGAGCTGGACACGCCCACTTTCCTGACTTTTTCCAAAGTAGAGGTGTGAAAACACCCTGCTGAAACAGGCGGGTTTCACGGCCCTTTAAAGAGTGAATTGACTGAAATATCTCAGTAACAGAGTTGACACGTTATTAATCTACTATTGGCGAATTTTAAATAGGGCTGTGCGATATAGGCAAAAGTAACCTATCACAATTTTCTTGAACAATATTGTGTTTTTGATTTTGACACACACAGATGTGTACAGTGTGCATCTGAAACATATTTCCAAAGAAAAACAATTAGATCTTTATCAAAGACCTGTAACATGGCTCTAAAACAGACACAAGGCAAAAAATGTATAATGCAAATTTTAAAAAATGTGAATAATTCTGACTTTACCTGTATATTAAGTATACCTGCAATTCTAGAGTCACCAATAAATGTAGTGAAAAATGCATGCAATTTAAAACTGTTAAACTCTGCAGGGAAAGCGCTCTACAGAACGCTGATGAAGAAGGACAAGCGAGTGCAAAGAAAGTCAAACGTAAACGTGCAGACGGAGGAGAAGACGAAGAAGAGCGACCCACCAAACACAAGAAAACCGTCAAGTTCAATGCGGAGGAACGGCTCAAAATGAAACGAACGGTGTTTGTGGGAAATCTCCCGTCCAGCTGCAAGAAGAAGGTTTATCAAAAATCATTTCTTTTTATTCCTTTTAGGACATGTTTAAGTTCAAATTGATTTGTACTGGGTTATTTCTATAAACATATATAGGGCTGCACAATATTGGAATAATCAGGCATTGTGTTATTTTGTTCTTCAGCATTATATATATTTCGTCACCTTAGAATTATAATGTTCTCTCTGTGTTCTGAATGATTTTGAGATATTGAGCTTCAAAGTTTTTGCATTCCATATAACAAACAATGTGTGTGTAACAGTTCTGTTTCATACATTAACATGACCGAGACCCTAAAGGTACTCTAAATGTACATGATCAAAGTTCTCTTACAGTTGCAAATTGGAGTAAAAGGAAGACGGTAAATGCAGGTAGAACCTTCTCATTCTGAAAAGTCATTTTCCGCTTGGAATTATAAGGTTCCCTCTGGCAGATCATTCATTGAAGCTTTACTTTTCAAGATATAGAATCAAAAAATAAATAATTTGGTGTTGAAACAATATGTTGATGCTTGAGAAAGTTACATTTGTCCTTTCTATAACATTTATTTAATG